AGATGGTGAGCCAAAGGAGACTTTGGGCTGCTTCCTTAGGCTCATACTCCCTAACTCTTCTCTCTTCTTGCAGCCTTTTATCTGCACATGTCTCACTGCCCATGAACAGTAGAGAAGGGGGTGGTGCCAGGACCACCAGAAATCCTGGCTGAAGAAGTGCTCTAGTTTGGAGGCCGTTCTTCCCCAAATCCTCAAAGGAGCTTTTCAGGTACAGAGCCTGGGCAGACGCTGTTTGCTGGAGAGGTGGCTCTGAGCATCCGGAGTTGCACAGGGCTCTGCCTCCCATGCACCACAGACTGGCCCTGATGAGATTAAAGGGAAAAAGGTCCCCTCCACCTCGTGTTTGTTTATTATTATTTTTTTCATCGTGGTAAATAAAGCCAGTTAGAAGTGGAATCTTAGTCTCCACTGCAGCACCTTGATTTTTGCTCCAGGGCTGTGATAAACCAGTGGCTCCTCCCAAGTCCTCAGGGAAGGTTTTCAGGGACATCCTTGGTTCAGCTGCTGGATGGAGTCCCCTGGAGAGCTGTTCACACACAGACACTGGGCCCACCCCAGGGGCATTTCTGATTGGGTAGGTCTGGGGTGGGGCACTTCTAACACAGGGCTGGGGTGCTGCTGTTCTTGGGGTGGCTCTGATGGAGGATCAGTAGCAAGGTTAAACTCTTGCCAACTCAGTGAGGCCATTGGAAAATTTCCTTCACACTGTTTGCCGTGGTCTGGCCACTGGCCCCCACCTCCTGGCCCTACTGCTTACTACACAAACGTTGTTATCTTCTTGTCTCAAGCACTCCTACCTCTGCACCCCAGGATCTAAAAGTGTGGGCTCCCCTGTCAGAGCTGCCTCCAAGTCTGCATTTGATTTCCATGAAAACAGAAGTGACCTGGAGGGCTCAGGTTGCTTCTAAGCTCATGTTGTATTGGGGGATCAGTTGGATCAGCCACTCAGACAAGACTGGGCTGTTGGGGATTTCAAGCAGGACCTGCTGGCATCCTTGCAGCCTCCGTGCCTGGCTGCTTCTAGAACACAAAGGTGTGGAAGGTAGAGTCCCCCATCTCTTTGCACAGTAAGGGCCGTGTTTAAACTCTTGCCCGCTGCAGTGAACTCTGTAGTCCAAGGGGGAAGTCCAGTCCTGCCTCTTGCCAGAGAAAGGAAGGCAGAGGGGAGGGTGGAGTGGGGGGAGCTCCTTTTTCCTGCCTAGGCACAGGCGGAAGTGGGAGGCCAGGCGCTGAGCATCTGGAAGGGCAGAAATGATGCAGACCAAGATTGTTAGAAGCCAGAGAACGTGACTAAGGGAGAGCATCTGTGCTCAAGCCCTGTGCCAGGAGTCACACATTTTCACCGAAAGAAACTTAACAGCGTTCAGAAACTGGATCCACTCAGCTCTGGGATCCTGGGGATAAGTGACTTTGCCTCTAAACCTTGGTTTTCCTGTCTCTACAGTGGGCCTCATCCTGACAGGGTGGTCGTAATGAGGGGGAAACCAGATGATGCACTTGGCATGTGGCGCATAGTGCCCAAAAGTTGTTAGCTGTGGTGATGGTGAAGAAGTATGATGGCAAGTGTGTCCTGGGGTTTGGAACCAAGAGCCACGGGTCAGCACGAATCAGGAGGCACCATGTGGACAATGGCCCTGAGGGAAGGGGTCGGGGAAGGAGTGGAGGCAGACATTCTGGGGGCAGGAACTGAGCAGAGAGGGTAACCATAGGGCCTGCTGGGCCACAAGTCAGAGGCAAACTGAGGCCACAGCCTTGCATGGCAGGTTTAAGAGTCTGGAGGGGACAGAGGTGGGGGAGTGTTTTTGAGCTCAGAAGACAAAGAGGAGGCCACATACACATCTTGGGTCCCATGGCTGCTGTTCCTGCTTCACCTCCATGCTTCTCTCTTAACGTGGCCTGTGCCAAGAGCTGAAAAACCCACCTCTTCTCAGCAGTCCCCCCTCACCCAGAGCTGGCCAGAGCAGCTCATGGTGCCTGATTGCACAGGACCTGCTTGGTTGCTGAGGACACTTCCTGATGCTCTAAAGCTCCACTTTACCAAAGGCCGTACCAGCCCTGGGGCGGGGGGTGACTTTCATGGGTTGCCTCCCATCCAGGGCACAGCCTGAACCCTAAGCCAAGAAACACATCACCTTCCTGGAACTCAGAGCCAGCGTCACAGCTGTCTCAGCCTTCAGAGCACATGGAGGCCCTCCTAGTTAGAAGAGCCGGTTCAGTCTAAGCTTTGCAGGCAGGGAGGGAACAAACAGGCTTGGCCCCGGTGGAACATCTCGTCTGCTTCGGTTCTGTCCCCAGCTGGCCAAGACTCTGCCCTTCCTTCAAGAGATGTCTTTGCTGCTTGGCAAGCCCCCTAGTCGTAGACCATTTCAGTATCTGAATGCCTCTGAAATGACACTCTCCGAGCCCGGCCTGGGGTGGCCCGCACCAGTCAGTGAGGCTGTTACACGGTGTGGACCAGCCATCCCAGTGCCTGTGGACACCTTGAAGGCTCAGCACTCCCATCCCGGGCAAGTGTTGTCAAGCCCGCCACCCTAGACATCTAAACTTACTCCATATTTCCTGGGGGCCTTAGGACAGGTTTTAAGATTTCACTTCAAGGACCCTGGGGTTTTCAGAAGCTGGGATGAGGCCCTTTGTTTCTAGCCGATCTTCCCTTTTATCTTTCATCATTTCATGGCTATCTCCTTGGACCTGGAGACAAGCTTACTAATCTCTGCTTCTGCCTTTGCTTAGCATTGTCCCTTATCTCCCCAGGGCTGGGGGCTGGCATCCCCTCCCTTGTGGGAATGCAAATCCAGAAACTCAGCATCCTTGACCCACCCCCAAGTCCCAGCCTGTTTTGTCACAGTTCACCCACGGAGTCATCTTCTAGGGCCCAACTGGTCTTTCTTTCTTTCTTTTCTTCCTGAGATGATGGAGGTGAGGGGTGTCTTGAAGTTTCTTCCAGGAACTGATTTGTACTTTTCCACTCTCCAAGTTCTGTCCCTCAGGCCTAGTAGAACCCAAAACAAACATGGTAGTGACTTGTTGCGCAGCCTAATTGCAAGGCAGTCTCAGTATTCAGATCATTTACATCTGAGGTCACAGGATGGAAGTTTCAAGGTCAAGTCTCTGCTTCACCTGCTTGCTCTAGAATGATCCTCTTTTCCCCTTGGTTCCCTGTGCATTTCCGGGGAGTTACTTGGACTTTTTTTTTTTTTTTTTTAAGTATCTTATTTAAATGAGGGGAGACAGTAGGTTAAAATTTTAGGAAGTTGACTCTAAAGTGTGTTTTTTTCCTAATTGTGTATAGAACTGTAGTTCACTTATTCAGAGATTTTTGCAGTTTCTAGGAAAAAGCCATGGGGCTGCTCCTCTCCAGACTTTCTTCCTAATAAAATTTCCCATTAATTAAGAAAACAATAACAGAGGGAAATTATGCTTGCTTTTTTTTTTTTTTTTTGTTTAATTTCACCAAGGTGTCTTTAAGTTGAGATGGGTTGAGACGGGTGGGATGATCTGAAAGGATGTCTTGTTTGCACATTTCTGAATACTGCATTAGAATTTTAAGAGAATTGACTTGATTCACAGTTTAAAGGGCAGTTGGTCATATATATATCAAGAAAAATGGGATTTTTATCCTGCTGTCTCTGGGTGGGTTTCTGGGCTCCCTTATACTGTGTGAAAATGTTGAATGTAGAGTATGTGTGTTTTTCTGTGGGAGGGTCAGATTCTCAAGGAGGGTCCTGCCCTACGAAACATCGAGAACTCCTGAGGCAGTGATGAGGGGGCTCTGGGTGTATGGTCTCCATATTCCATTCGTGCTTTCCCTGTAAATTACTCCTTGTTTCCTGATACTTTGCTTCAAATCCAAAGAACTTCTCAAAAGAGAAAGTCACAAGCAAGAGATGGAGGACTGAAGCAGTGAGATGGAAAGAGAAAAGAACTGTTCTGGGAGAATCTTAGTGTCAGAGCTGGCTGCTTCTGATGGAGAGGGTCGGGGGGCTTTCTCAAATCCAGCAAGCAGCCAAGTGCAGGGGTTTGCCTGCCGAAGGTATTCGGTCATATCTGTGGAGAACACAAGGAAGATTCAAGATGACAGCCGTGTGACACGACTGGGCAGCTTGTCGCCAGATGCCCCAAAAGGGGACAAGTGAGAAAATAGTTCGAGTAATTGTTTATTGACAGATGTTGTCCGTGTGGGTTTTATTCTACTTCTTGAGTCTTCCAGTTTTGTACCGTTCAGCTTAGCTGAGGCATGCTGTGTTGAGAGTGAGAGAGACTGTGGCCCAATGCTGTGGCTCTGGGAAATGCTGCATTCCAGTTTTCTGGGATTCTGGCCCTTCCAAGCTCAGGGCTCTAAGGCCCTTGGCAGCCCAGAGCAGATTTTCTCAAACTCTCCAGAGCACGTACAGAACGGAGAGGTATGCATGTGGTCCTATTTGACATGTGCTACAAACACTTCCCCTTTCACTCGGGAAAAGATGTAATAGCCTCTCCTTTCCTTCAAGGCACTGTTTAGTTGCATATTTCTTCCTTTCTTTTTTCGCCACTGTGTCTGATAGCACTGAGTACTACTGTCTTGCTTTTCCCTTCAAACTGGCACTCCATCTGCATCTCTGAACACTCTGCTAGGATGCTCGAAGCTCCTCCCGGCCCCAGCAATCCGAGGCATTCTGACATGGTGGTGCTGGATCTTGCTGGGGTGGGGTGGATGGGTTCCTGTCTGTTCAGGGCACTCACTCGCACATGGATGCTAATGGGCCATCTCAGCTGAGGAGCTACTTGCTTGTAATTGCAGGCAGGGGATGGGAAGTGGGCTCTTGTCGTAATTCGTGACTGCTGGCTGTATTATGTAAAGGAAATTATACAGAGACAGGATCATTTCTGGTCTTAACCCCCCTTTAATGTCACCTTTTCTCATTTTTGTAGGTTGCTCCGCCTTTGTGCTCCAGCAGTGGTGGCTTTGAGGTGTGACCCTGCCCACGTTTGGACCCAGGCAGTTTTAGCTCCTCAGTAAGGAGGGCAGCTTGATAAGAGCAAGGAAACAGGTCAGTCATACTTTTATTGACTTTCCTTGAGTCACAGTTACAGTGAATCTTGAATCTTCCCATGCAGTCCCCTCCCATACCCGCTGCTTCCCTGTGAATTGTCCCCCTCTTCTCCAGGTCCTCCTGAGGCTTTGGTACAAAATCTCATTGAAATCGTAACTGTGACTTTTTAGTTCTTCTTGATCCGATGGGCCTGAGGTTTGGGATGAGAAATCCATGGCAGAGTGTATGCCAAGGGTGTGTCTCCCAGGAAGCAGCTCTTCAGACACCCCCTTCCTTTCTTTCTTCTTGTCTGTACGCCCAAATCCAGGCAGCATGAGTCAAAAGCTGGAACACCAGGCCAGTCTGTGTTGATCGTGCCTATGACTTGGGAACTTCATCAGGATTCTGGTCTTCTCTGATTCCCGTTGAAAGGGATTGCATTAGAATGGGGCCAGTGATTTTTATCTTTTATTTTATTGTCTTTATTTATTTACTTGCAGCACGTGAGGATGGTATCAGGGAGAAGAAATGGATGGTGCAGAGGAGTGAATGAAAATTCTAGGGCTGCAAATATTTGTAAAGAAAAATGCCATCTATAAGTGGACCCTAAACTGTTAAAATTTTCTTCCATTCCTTGAGATTGAGTGTCAGAAGGTTTAAGTTTGTTAGTTTGGGTTATTGTACGAGTATAGTCCAGGGTGTGGGGGTGTGGGGCAGGTAGAATCCAGCAATATCGGCCAACTGGGTTCTGGTAAAATTATCACGTAGATGAGCCTTAACGTTAAGGTGCATTCCCCCCGCACCCCCCAATGTGGAACAGCGAGCTACACATTGTGTTTTGCACCCTTCTGCCCTGGTCCCGAAGGGAGAACGCCAGCATAAGACACAAGGACAAGCTGGAGTGAAAGCTTCTCATAGCTCCAAGGGGCTGCTTGTTGGTTGCTTTTGATACAGTTTCTCAGTGATGAGTCTGATGGCTCTTTTCTTCTCAGTGTAGCTGGGAGTTTCATTTTGTAAAGTCCACTTTCAGATCAGAGATGAGGAGAATCTCTCTTAATAAGTATTGCTACTTACTTACATTTCAAGTAGGAAAAGGAAGTAAGGGTAGGTGATCTTGGCGTCGCCAGTGGGCAGTGTCACTCTTTACACTTTTATCCCCAAGAAGGAAGTAAGCTAAGTAACTGTCTTCCTGTCCAGACAAAATGGGAAACAACAGGTTTGCATGGCTTTTCCCTTTTTCCAAGTGGGATAAACCCTTTCAGCTGTCAGCGCTTGCTTTGGTTAGCTACAGTGACTATTGCTAGGCGTTGCATACTTAAGACACTTAGGTGGTTTGCAAGAATGTATCTTTGATATCGTAATGACTATGAAAAAAATTCTCATAAGCAGTTTAGTTCTGTTTAATGAATATATGTTTATCAATTTTCCTGTTGACTGTTTCCCTCCTCTCTGCTTTCTTTCCTTACTCAGTGATTGAATTAGAATATATTTTTTGTAACTTACAGACGTACATTGAGTCCTAAAAGTGTCTATTCTAACTTGTTCCCAGATTTGAGTAATCTTTACCATATTTTTCTTCTCTAAACGTAGAAATAAGACAAAAGCAAGGTCATCTTCAAAATTCTTAGTATAAATTGGTAGAAAGGTTCATTTTCCTGTTATTGACATAACATAATTACAATAGATTTCTACTCAGTTATTTTATAATTTTCTGTACATTAAAATTGTGGGGGAGATGTATTTAAAAGAATGAGGTGAATTCAGTATGTAGGTATTCATTTATGAATCATACATAATTACCTGCTGATCAGTTAGAAAAATTCTAGGAAACTGATGGTACGTTTGTTAGTGATAGGTCAAGAAAGAAAAGAGGTTTGTGTGTACACACTCATGTGTCTGCACTTGTGTCTGTGTGGGGTTTTTTTTCCCTGGGGAGAAATCACCCAAATAAACTTTCAAAGATAGAAGTAGGAAGTGTGAAGCACAGTTTTTAATCACTTTAAATGGTCTGCTAGCATGGGGAAACTTCTTGGAAAGGCAACAGTTGGGGCTTTTTTATTTAATTTTGAACATAGCTTTTCTATCTGTATGGGAAAAGATATGGCTAGATCAGTAGTCTTGAATTGTATGTTTCTGCAGTTAGTCCTTTTACCTACCATGTAGAAAACCATTTGGTTCATATCTTCAAAACGTCTGTTAACGAGGAAGGCATGTTTTGTCTCTCGACAAGAAAAGTACTGTTTCTAAGATTCTCTTTGGCCCTTTTGGTAGGGGATGAGCTTGGGACTTCTCAGCTGTGGAAGTATAGTTTACTAAAGCTCTGTCCCCAGGCCTTTCCTGCTCTGCCTCTGGAAGGCTGCACATTTGTCACTGCTGTGGGTGGTACCGTTTCTCATTCCCTGGGTCACATCCCCTAAAGTTGGAGGAGGAAACCACAAGAAATCATGTTCTCTCTGTGTCGTTTCTGAGCATTCTCCTTATAGCTGAGATGAGCCTGATCTTGGACTGCTATTGTGGACTCGTAGGATTTATTAATGCACACTGTAGGTTAGTAGGACATTATCTTAATATCCTACTATCTTACTGGCAGGGCTTCAGCTACTGAACTTCCCAGATAAAATGAGGGAAGCAGTTTACCTATGGACTTCGTACTGTTGTCTGTACTTATAACCGTAGTACTTCTAGTTGCAAGGAATATGGCTTGAAGAAGTAAGCTTTGCTGGGGCCACGGGCCATCGTTTTCCCTTCGGTCATTCTTTTCATGTTACCAGGTTTCTTTTAGGTCTGACCTAATACCAACTAGACTCAGAGCCTTTAGCGAATTCCTTAGCTGTTTTTTTGTCTTTGATCAATTTTAGGTGGAGAAGTGAGGTGGGTCAAGTGGGAATCAGAGAGTTCTGGTGAGGTGGTGGGGCACAATATGAAAGAAGATTTGGTTATTGTATAAATATGAGCTTCAGAAGGTAAAATGCAAAATCTTGGCTGTTGGGAGTGAAGGGGATAGCACTGCAAGGGACATCAGTTAAGGTTGGAAAACAGCCACAGAAGGTGGTTTGGGGAGAATAAAAGGATTTTAGAAATTGCCTCTTATTTGTGCTACTTATATTTTTGTGACTATAGTAGTCTGAGATGATGGCAAGTAAATGGTTTCAGGCTTTTCCTCACGAAGTGAAAAGACATTCACGGAATTTTTCTGCCTTTGCTTACCTTCCAGTGTCAAGGAGCGATACCAAGAGGAGAACAGAAGACGTGAATGCAGCCTCGTTTCCTGCCACATGCAGGTGGTAGCTGCAGCAGCGGGGATTGCATAGTCTCTCATTTGGGGCAGAAAATGGAGGTAATTAGCAGTGGGGAGGGGTTGTCTTTCCATTTTCTAGGGTATAGGTATATTACCTACTCGTGTTTTTAAGAAACAGGCTTTTTTATGTCAATTTGAAATTTTGGTTGTAATTCTGATAGGGTTGGCTTCTCAAATCTCTTATAAAATTCTGGCTTTCCATTAAAATCACTATATTGTAGCAGCACAGTTAAACTGAAGTTTCTCATCACTAGCTTTTAGATCTAGAACATTCATGTGATAGTAAATGAGTGTAGGTTCGGGCCGGCCCGGTGGCGCACTGGAGAGTGCGCCACTTGGGAGTGTGGAGGTGCTGCCGCTGAGGGTTCGGATCCCATGTGGAGACCGGTTCCCGCTCACTGGCTGAGCGCGGTGCGGGCGCAACACCAAGGGTTGCGATCCCGTTGCTGGTCAGTAAAAAAGACAAAAAGGGGGAAAAAAAAATGAGTGTAGGTTCTTGGGACACATGGCAGCTCCCTGGGTTTCCTAATTGTTGCTGTGGCCTTTCTCATCTCTCCTAGCAAAGATGAGGAAAGGCAAAGACACCTGCCTTACATGACTTTGAGTCCTGTCGGTGACATACACTCAGAAAGGAAGCAAGGTCATCGGTTAGTCTTTGGTAGGCCAAGACTTCATTTAGGTAAAAGTGTAAATCGTTCTGGGCATGAGTGGGCTTCAGCTGAAGGAAGAGGGTGTTGGACAGTTTTGACCCAACTTGTTATAGTAGCCATGGCCAGCACCACCTGTCTATAACAGAAGCCTCAGCTTCCTCGTGATCACACTAGCAATTTCCGGTTTTCAGTTCTGTGGCAGAGGCTTCTTAGAAGCTTAAACCCCTGTCCCAATGACGTCAAGTTCACCTGTTGGCTTGGAAGGTTCAGACCTGTCTTCCATCAACACCATGATGTCAGCGGTCATGAATGTAGGGAAGGTCACCGAGAATGGCCGGAGCCCCCAGAGTGTCAAGTCCCCTGCGAAGCCTCCAGGACCAAATCGGATTGGCAGAAGGAACCAGGTAAGTGTTTGTGCACTCGGGTGGCGTCTGGTGGGTTCAGTCTATGAGAACATCAGGAGAAGTTCCTCGGAATCAAACAGACGTACCCAGAGGCCTTAATCATTTTTCAAGAGCACATTTTTCATAGCTTATGTCAGTTTCCTTTCATGGAGAAGCTTTTCTTTGCTGTGGTGTCAGTGTTGGTGAAAGCACCCTCATTCTTTGCCCATGATTTGATTTGAACGCAAGTTTTCTCCACGTGACAGCCGCGGCAAAGAACGTGACTGATTCCTCTGCTGTGATGTGGTTTGTTTCCTTATTCACACAGCTGGTTAATTGGGCTTTCAAAGCCACCTCCTTGATTTTTTCTTTTTTTAGTGTCTTCGGATTAGGTAGCAAATAAATGCTGTTTGTGCTGGGACTGCTGTTCAGTTTTCTGTTCTTGAAAAAGCACAGAATTTGGCTTCAGGGAATTCCACTAAAGATGCTGTTTAGTCCTCTTGAAGAGGGGAAGAATAAATAAGCAGGAGTGAGAAGGATTAATGCTGTTATAAAAGTTCGTGTCTCCTCTATAGGGAAATTAGATGAGTCTTTTAATTAATGGTTTTTGAAAAGTCGTTACTGTCATGGTAGCAACATGCTCAACATAGGGTAGGTCGAGGACAGGCAGAGGGTGAATAATTCTCATTTTATTTGACTCTGTATCATATGAATCGACTTCTTCATGTTTAATTTTTGGCTTAACTAATTTAATGGCGTTATGCTCAACCCTCATGCAGTCTTCTGAGTTTGTCTAGAACCAGGAATGGACAAGAAAACAAACCTGTTGGGTTTTCGTGAATCAATTTTGTCTTTTTATTAATAATCCTACTGTGACTGTCCTTACACAGAATTCTCTGAGTACAACTCTGATGGTTTCCTATAAACTCTTAGAAGTGTAGAACCTTAATTACACCTTTTGATGCAGCTTNGATTAATGCTGTTATAAAAGTTCGTGTCTCCTCTATAGGGAAATTAGATGAGTCTTTTAATGTTTTTTGAAAAGTCGTTACTGTCATGGTAGCAACAAGCTCAACATAGGGTAGGTCGAGGACAGGCAGAGGGTGAATAATTCTCATTTTCTTTGAATCTGTATCATATGAATCGACTTCTTCATGTTTAATTTTTGGCTTAACTGATTTTAATGACGTTATGCTCAGCCCTCATGGAGTCTTCTGAGTTTGTCTAGAACCAGGGATGGACAAGAAACCAAACCTGTTGGGTTTTCGTGAATCAATTTTGTCTTTTTATTAATAATCCTACTGTGACTGTCCTTACACAGAATTCTCTGAGTACAACTATGATGGTTTCCTATAAACTCTTAGAAGTGTAGAACCTTAATTACACCTTTTGATGCAGCTTGCCCTCCCAGAGAGGTTGTGCCAGCCCGAAACCCCACCAGCAAGTGGGTGGGAGTGTGTATTTCTCCACACCTTGCTCAAGGCTGAGGACGTGGCAGAGTTCAGTGATGTTTCAGGACCGGAGCTTTGATACCTGTCTCTTTCTTTTTTCCCTTGCCTCCACGTGCCTCTCTTCCTATGGGTGCCTGAGAAAATACTCAGCCTGTATGACTGTGGCCTGAGTCGAGAAGGAGCACTAGCTCTGGGAAGAAAAGGTTTATTTCCACTCTTATCTGACTGTTCATCCATCTGTCTATCCGTCTATCTCTCCATCCATCAACCCATTTAACAATATATACCAGGCTCCTACTTCAAGCTCGCTGTAGTGCCAGGGGCCAAGTATTTCAGGAAGAATAAGATAGACAAGGTCATTGTCCTTCTCATCCGTCTCTGCTCTACCAGGAGTAAGCAGAGTGGTAGGGAAGTGCTTTGCTTTAAACAGCAGAGAGCTGGCCTAACCCCAGGCTCCAGTCCCTTCCTAGTTGTTCAGAGATGGTAGTTAGGGCCATAGAGGATACCCACAGTACCTTTTGTCCTCATGCTAAGTGAAGGGTGCCTCTCTCGGTGAGAGGAAGCAAACGTGCAGGTGTAACTGGGCCATTTTTCCTCTACCTCCTTTCTCTTCCAGGAAGCAGGTGCACTGGCTTCATTTTTGAAAGGGAAATCTGGTCCAGAGGTAGCCTGGTTAAACACAGTGCTTAATTTTAAAAAAACCAAAATGCAGTTGGGAGAGAGTGCAGGAAAGAAGGAAGCGTACTCCTTACCTGTGAGCTGCACAGGGAGGACGGAGAGAGGGAGCTGGGGAAGTCCCAGCAGGGCGCACGCGAGTTCCAGGACAGATTAGCCGCAGCCGGATGCTGACAAGGGTGCCAGATTGTTTCATTATGGAATGGTTAGTTATCACATTAGCTGCTAATTTTATCTTTCAACTCGGGAAGTGTGCTGCTTCCACCAGCTCGGCCGCAGAAACTGGATTCAAAGTTCTCCAGTAGGGCCTCTCCTTCAGCATCACAATGATGTTTAAAAAATTAAGTCTGATCCCACAGACCTCCTCCCAGACCACCTTGGATTTTGTGGCCCTGTATTATGGTCTGTAGCACACCACTGCCAGCCTCAGAAGGTCTGGGTGTCAGTTAATGTTCAACTTCAGAGTCAATACCAGCAGCCTCACCAGCTACTCACTGTCTGTTTCAAGGTGAATGCGGGATGATACTTTTAAAAAATCGTCTCTTCTAGAAGCTGGCCACTTGACGGCCTGGATTATTAATATTTATGTACATCCAACTGGTGAATTTGCCCTTTAAAAAAATTTTTAAAACCTATATTTTTGCTAATCTAATAATTTAACAGAAATACCCCAGAGATTGAACTTGACCCCAGCTTTTAGCCTGGCAGTGAGACCTCCCTCATTGTTACAGCAAGTGCTTTTATGTTGTTGCCGTTGCTTTTCTCTGGGGGGTTCCTTGGCCAGCTCCCTTCTGTCTGTAGTTGCAGAGCCTCTCTCCATTATTCCTCTGAGAGGACTAGGTGTATGTGGCTAAGTGGGTGAGACGGGGAGTTTTCCTTACCATCTCTGAAGTGTTCAGCTTCCTCAGGATTTCTATCCCTGATCCTTTATAATTTGAGCTTGAGAAAATGTATGGCGTGCCTCGCTCTCAGATGCAGTTCCACAGGTTAGAGAAAGGTTCATGTGCTCAGAATGAGGCCTGCGAGTCTCCGAAGAGGAGAGAGAAGGCAGCTAGGAACTGGCCATTACCATGCGCTTGCTCCACCCGTCTGGTTTATGGCGCCATTTGTTTTTATAGTCTGCAGGGTGATTTTTATTTTCATCATCTCTCATGAGCAACCACAAGGGTGTTTCCTTTCTGTGCCTTGGGGTTAATCCTTTTTTTGGTCAGACTTTATATAGCATAGTGGTTTAGGGCATGGGCTGTGGAGCAGCTGGCCTGAGTTTTAATTTTTTGTCTACTACTTAATAGTTCTCTGGTTTGGGCAGGTTACTTGCCTCCCTGTACCCCCATTTCCTCGTCCAGAAAATGGGATCCATGATAGTGGCTGTCTCTTAATAGTGGTTGTGAAAAAAACAACTGGCGATTTGGTATATACAGAGTTTAGTACATAGTAAGTGCTCAATAATCGGTATTGTTTGCCAGGAACAGAAACTCACTCAGGTGAGTGCAAGTCAAAAGAGGTCTATTGAAAGATGCCCGAGGACAGGAAATGACATATAGCCTGGCCATGGCCTCCAGCCCTAAAGAA